TGAAATTTTCAGCAAAGTTCCAAGATCCATGGCCAAAGAACGCCGAAGATGTTTAGAGATTTTTTGCCAATTTCATTATTTTGAGAAAGTTCTTAATGGGAGATCTAAGTACTTAAATAATGTTCCAAAAAATTCAGGAAATTAACGGAGTCTTTAGGGATATCGTAGTTTGTTTCGATGGTAGACTGGACAAATTCTGCTGCTGCGAGATCGCTTGATTATCACCAGCTCCGGTAGATATTTTAAATTCTTTAAAATTGGGCATAGAAAAGGCAGAAAAAGAAACTGCTCTTTACTGTGGTTGATATAGAAGTGAAAATTTTAAATAATAGTTGGTTACACGTTTGCTTTGATTGTTAGTTCGGTCTGAACGCCTACTACTACTAACAGTTTTATGTTCGACGTATCGGCCTTTGGACTTGGCCTTCTTCAAGGGATAAAGATGATCAGCATTTTTCCTTGAAGATTGAAAAGCCGCCACAAAATAGCTAATTCTTCAAGATCTTTAAGCTTCCCCGGATAGTCCAGACTTTTATAAAGTACTCGCTACTTCCCTGAGTAATGAAATTGGGTTGTAAGCGGAATGCTTAAATAAAACAGCAAAAAAGGCGTTATCTTCCATTTAATTCCACTTAAGTGGATTATCACTAAAGAAGTGATAAGTCTTTAGTGGGAATGACACTGATGAAGACTGCACATTGTAGTCGAAATACGTATCTGTCATGAATACCAAAATTATTGAAGTGGGATTAAATGGAAGACTTCCCTGAAGTTATTTGAATTACCTTATGACCTCAGAACTACAACAAAGTTCTCTAGATTTCGATGATTTTCTCAGAACTTTTTGAAAGTTTCTGTAAGTTTTCTGAAGTTTTTGAAACTTCCTTGAAGCTCATGGAAGTTCCCTTAAAATGTTAAAACTTCTATGAACTTCTCTGGACTTTCCTTTCCTTCACGAAGCTCCCCAATGTTCCAAGAAAATCTCGGAACTTCTCTAACATTCCATCAATGCTTCCCTGAAGACCCCGTTATTTTTCTGAAATTTTTGAAACATTCTTTTGAGTAACCACCAATTTCTTGATAGTTCCTGCAGTTAATAAATGGAACTGCTATGAAGTTCTCAGATCTTTTTTTATGTACTTTCTGGAAATTATTAAACTGCCCAAAAATCTCTAAACTTCTCCAGCGTTCTCTGGTCATCCCTAAGGAACTCGGAACTTTGCTAAAAATTTCAGAAATCCCTGAGTTTTAGGGATTTTTTTTAAAGTTCCTGCAACTTCCCTGAAGTTAATTGAACTGATCGTCCGTGATTTTTCTAAACCTACCCTGAAGTCTCCTCAAGTTCATGGTACTTCCCTTCCCTGAAAATCTTTGAACCTGTGTAAAGTTTTCGATATGTGTCTAAAGTTTTCTAAACAGCTAATGAATTCTTGGGGTCTTCCTTAGCTCAGACCATGCTGGAGGTGGCTGGGTTCGATTAAAGGTCAGGTCTATGATTTTTTCGGTTGGAAAATGTCTCGAATTCCCTGGGCATAGAGTATTGTTGTACTTGCCGCACAATTATTCTAATGCAAAAATGGTACAGGCATCGAAAGCTCGCAAATAATAACTGTGGAAGTGCATCTAGAGCACTAAGTTGATAGCACGCAATAAGCTTAAATGCGATAAGCAACAAGCTTGAAATGTGAAGAAGAAGTCATGAATTATCTGGACTTCCCTTAAATTTCTGGAACTTATTAAAGTTTCCTTAACTTTTCATCAGGTTTTTGAATTGATCGAAAGTAATCTTTACAGATATTTCAACCTCCCTAAAAGTCTGGACTTTCTTTAAGTTATTATAATTGCCCTTTCGATTTCTGAGCTTCTCTGGAGATCTTAAGACCAAACATCTCTGAAGGTCTTGAAATTTCATTAAGTGTCTCTAAACTCTCTGAAGGTTTCCATGAAGCTCTCGGAATATCCCTGAAGTACATAGAGCTTTTTAAAAGTTTCTGCACTTTCACTGAAACTGATGGAACCACCTTGAAGTTTTCGAAGCATCCCTGAAGTGTTCGAAATCTTCGTAATTTGCCTGTTCATAAAACTTCCACAAAATCCTGGGTATTTCCTATAATCCTCGAAACTACTACCATAATTTTTGTTGGAGTTTCCGTAATCTTTTAAGTTTGCTCATCTTTCCAGGAGTTCTTGAAACATCCCTGAACTGGAATCGCCCTAAAAAGATTGTAACTGTCCATCTAAATTTCACGACAACTGCTATGAAGTTTCCGATTTTTTTCTTAAGTTCTCTAAACGGATGTTCTCTGGACTATCTTTGATGTTTTGGATCTTCTTGAAGGATCAGTTATGTAACTTAATTTTATGAAATTGCCCAAAACTTCTCGAAACTTACTTGAAGTTCCCGCAATTTTTTCGATACTCATGGAACTGTGCTATTACTAAACTATAACTTCACTTAAGATCTTAAACTCAACTGAAGTTTGGATAACTTTTGTAACATTAATTGAACTGCCTTGTGAATCCCAAAGTTTTCAAAATTGCTCCAATGAACTTTGAGCTTCCCAAATTTGTGTCTGTGCTTCCGTGAACTTCTCAAATTTCTAAAAGAGTTTGAGTCAATATAGGGGAAATGTATGTAATGTCGGCCTAAGTGTCCGTAATTTGAGCCCATACATAAATTCAGCAATCGGCTAAATTTTCAATAGCAACCAAAAATATCCATTAGTACCGTCCCAATGACGCGTTCATCTAGATAAAATTGATAAATAGCATATTTTTAGCGATGGGTCCAATCTTAGATCCATAGGCCAACATTAGAGCCATTTCCCCTACGCATTTTTTTAGATTCGCCGGATTATCACTAGGGGTGGAGCAATTTTTTTTTTCACTTCGCGAGCGTCTAGTTACAATTGACATCTTATTATGCCTTAATTTATTTAGATATGTGGGAGCAAATGCGCATTTGAAAGGCAACCCAAATAAAGTTAATCTGTTTTTATCTGATGGGCATGCTTGGTATGCACATTAGTACACACCAACTGCTCACTTGTTAATAACTTTTCACTCAGTTGTTGAAATTCGTTTTTCTTTAAAGTAATTGATAGATTAGGATCATAGTTTACTATGGATATGCAAAGAGTAGGTAAATCTTAACATTTGAATCAACACCAATGATTTTTTACACTTAAAGTCCGAGATGTGCAGTGAGCATTTCTCACTTCATTTTTACAACGCAAAAACAAATACAATTAAAATCTATTTTTTTTTACTTATCTATAACAAGCTTAAATTCTATACTATCTACTGCTTCAAAAAGAACAATGTTTCGTCAACTGTGTGCACAGTTATTTGTAAATGAATAATTCGTGACCAAAACTGTATATGCCAAGCATGGGGGCAACACATTTTATATCTGATGAGTGAAGAACATTTTTAATAAAATATTTGTAGGTCTAGTATAATTTTCAAACCTTTGTTGCTATAATTTAATTGCCCATTTAAGGGCGCTGATCTGAATCTGATGAATGTATCTCATTTTGCATGGTTGCAGTTCAATTTGGCTCATATGAGTATGCAGCAATGGAAATTTGCTTATGCTGTTTGATACACAGCTTTTAAAAGAAGTAGTGCATGTAGATCGATATTTCTGTGCCCAGTTTTGATAATAGACTCATGGAGTAATCATGAGTAACCACCATGACAGGCCTGACTTAGTGTTCTTGAAGCACTTCCACAGTTATTAATTGAGAGCTTTATATGCCAACCAATACATGAATATGTTTATTGTGTGACAAGTAAAATGATGTTCTATGCCCAGAGATGTCGAGAAAATATTCAACCCAGATTTCCAAGACTGAATTGGGAATCGAATCCGCCACCTGTGCCTTGGTCATGCCGTACCTCAACAGACTAGGCTATCTGATTTGTACTTTTAAATACAACGGATTTAAGATTTTGGAGAATATTACGAGATATTCCTTACGTTCTTAAGGTTTTCCTGAAGGTCTCGAAGTTTTCAGTAAGTTGTCAGACCTCCTCTAACGTTTTCGCAATTTTCTAATGGTTCAAAATGGCCTGAAAATGCCAAAATATCCATGGAATTAAATGAAAAAATAGTCCAGAATTTTCCAACAAAAAAAAAAAAAATAAAAAAACAATAAACCCATTAATCGTCGAAATGGCTTTGCTTTACTCAAGGTGGAATTCACTTTGGTGCTCTCCAAAATTTCAGCATCGTATCATTTCAGATTGCAAAAGCAGTCGTCATTAGATTCCTCTTATCATTTTAAGATGACGATAACTTTTTTCGATTTGAAATGATACGTCGAGAAAAACTGGGATTGAAGTTTTTGAAAGTGTACCAAAGTGAATTTCCCCTTAAATGATTTGAAAACGCCTGAATATTTGAAGGATTACAATTCCGTTAAGATATTTAAATTAGTCTAAGAAAATTAACTTGCTTCTGCCAAAGTTGTCTGTATTTCCACGAGCCACTAAAGAGTTGTCCGTGACTCACGAATGGGTTGCGACCTATAGATTCAGAAACGCTGCTTTGAACTCGTTAAACATCCCTGAAGTTGTGGGTGGGTCCTCTAAATGAATATTGTTAACAGTAAAATGAAACCAACTTTTCACCGTATTTTCTGTCCAGTATCAAGTTTCATAAATTCGGTCCCTGAAAAACAGTAAGGGCCAGAAATGCATCAAATATGTCACTGTTCAGTGTCACTCTCAGAGTAACGTCATACGCATTAACATTTCGTATTGTGTATGATTAGATCTTTCTCCATTATTCAATCGTTCATCTTCCAATTTTAAAATTGTTTGCTCACATACGAAGCTCTGATTCACCAACCGTAGAATTGATTTCCATTAATTATCACCAGCCATTTCGTGCCAAATGCAACTAGCTAAATCGTGGATTTGCCTAAACAATTATTGACACCATGATACACTGGGCAACGAGTGATACACAAATTTTGATCACACGCAATATTCACCTTTTCTGAATTCTCTTCCACGAAGAGCTGCCAATTTTTCACACACCTTTAAATTCCCAAGCTGTTTCACCTCACCACTTTGCAGTTTTCTTCACAAGCACTTAAAATTTTTCCAATAAATCAATCTACACAAATTCAAAAACTTCGTTTCTTGTATCACCGACTTCCCCGGATTTCAAGATACAAAAATTTCCACTTCTCCTCCACACAAAACAACAATCGCCGAGGCTTCCGGAGGCCTTCCTCAACACTCTCTTCTCCTTCCAACCGACTGAGTCGGAAGGATTCTTTGCGACAAAACACAGAAATTGTAGCACTACTGCCACTGGAGTCGCTTGGTGTTTTGTAGAATTGGTCGTATCACAAAAACTCCAAACACTCGGAAAAATACACGAAAATTGCGAACCGACCAGCTGCCCTAACAAATTGAAAGCCAAAGTGTTCAACGATCACTTCCAAGTTACCCCGAAAGCTGGTTTAGTAAAGCCAAAGAGCTGTTCAAGTGCCGAACGCCGAAAAGCAACTGATTCTCGAGCGCCGTGCGGTTTGGCAAAACCTTTTCGAAGAGTTTGACGACGATGGCAGTGGAAAAAAGCAGACCGGGAACATGAATGAACTCCCATCCAAACGCCTCTCACTGCTTAGTACAAAGGTTCATTCTCAAGCGGCAAGGGAAAAAAACTGAAAACGGCCGGTGCTGATCAGCTTGGGCTTGAGAGTTTCAGTTTCAGTCTTCAAGTTAGTGATGCTGCATATGCCGTCGGCCGGCGGTCGATCACATGTTGTGATACGGTGGGCCGTGTTGTGTTGCAGCCGGTCGATGCGGTGGGTGCGATGTCGCGTAACGGTGTGATGCGATGGGGTGTTCATTTGGTGGCGACCAGCAACAAGGGGAAATCTGTTGCGGTAGCTACTAACGGGTGAGACAGTGGTGTCAGAAAAGGATTAATGGATTAATTGTGCTGTGAAATGTGGGATAGACGTGATTGGACTAGTAAATTAACAAAGCTGTTTTAGAACCATTTCTCGCTATTAACTGACATAACCCCAAGGCTGCAAAATGCGTGTCGATGCATGACTGCTTCTCAGCAATGCGATGACCAATCGTTATGATTCAGCCACCAATCGAAAGATATGGCTATCTAATTTTATTTTCAATAGATAGAAACCCAATTGGACCTGAAGTTGGCCAGCCGGAACGGAAAAACCCTGAAAAGTCACGAGCAAAATGCGTGTCGATTCATGTTGACATGACTGGTTCTCGGCAATTTGGCTACCACATCTTAAAATTGAGCCACTACTTGTTAGGTATGACTATCTACTTTCAAACGCAACAGACAAGGAACCGATTGGAGTTGTGGGTGGTCAATCGGAACGATAAAACCCGTGAATGGTGGCTCTGTGGAAATTCGGATTCACCGGGAATGGTCATCCCTACTGAAACACGGATCTCTACGCCTACTTTGAAGAATTAACGATTTTCCCGGTGACTCCAGATATCCACAGGACCGTTTTCTGGCCACTTGGTTGCATAATCGATATGGTGAAGGTTTATGTCCTTTATGCTCATAATTGTATGAAATTTATAAAAAAAAAATCGCGGTCTCTAGGTCTACTTTCCGGAATTGACCATTTTCCTGGTGAATCCGAATATCCAGAAGGGCATTCAATAACCCCTGCGGGACCAAATCAATGCGATACTGACACATATCTTCTGAACTAAGGGTTCTTCACCTTTTCTAAGAAAATATCACGGATCTCTAGGTATACTTTTAAGAATTGACTAATTTCAAGGTGAGGACCGTATGATGGCCACCCGGTAGCAGAATCGATATGTTGATGTCATCACTGGCGTGCACAGGGTGGGGCATGGTGGGGGGGGGGGGGGCAATTGCCCCTCCTTTTATTAATAAGATTTTTATTTCCACATTTACAAAATTATGATATAAAATAACTTAATTTTTTGATAACTTGATTTGAAGGTAAAATAACTTCATTTCATAAAATAAGAGCACTGAAAACCTTTCAATGCGTCAATTCTTTTGAGATGGTCCCTGAAATTTGCACCACAAACGTGCATGAAGGGAAAAACTTCAATGAAGTTTTTTAGTTGCAACACAGTGCATTTTTGCACCACAGTGGTGCATACAAAAAATTTCTCGTGAAATTTCTTTTCTCAAGGTGGTTCATGTAGGGTTTAAAGAAGAGGGTAAATTTAAGGATGAAAAAATTCACCTTCGAGATGGTAGATCGAAGAAAAAGCTTTATATTGAATATTTCTGGTGTAAAAACGTCATCAAGGTGTTGCATGGAGGGACTAATCAAAATGAAAATTGGAAAAATTGAAAATGTCTGGTGGAAAATTCGCTACACTGTGGTGAATTTAGAAGCAAGGTTTATTCATTTTTCTGGTGCATAATTTGCATCGTCCTGATGAATGTAAGCTTCACTGAAAATTTATGATGGAAAATTTGCAGCATACCACCAGCATGCACCAGAGCATGAAAAGGCAAAGCCTGAAAATTGCACCACAAAGGTGCATTGTGAAACAAACTTTACTGACAATTTTTGGAGCATGCTTTATTGAAAATTTCTGCTGCAAAATTTGCATCGCTCTGATAAATGAAATGAACGGAAAATTTCTGGTGAAAAACTTGCACTGGTTTGGTAAATGAAGGCACAAGCTTTATTTAAAATTAAGCTATTTTGAAAAATTCTGGTAGAAAATCTGCACCGTTCTGGTAAATTGGTCTTTTTGGTCAATTTTGGTCTTAATTTTGCATCCTTGTGCTGAATAGAGAAACAAACTTCAATAATAATTTCTGGTGTAAAATTTGCACCATTCTGATGATTGGAGGGAAGCTGCTTTACTGAAAATTTTCGATGAAAAATCTAAAAATAGAGGTAAGCTTTATTTGGTGGAAAACCTGCTACATTCTGATGATAGGAGAAGCAAGCTATATTGAAAATGTCTGGTGGAAATGGAAAAAGGAAATCTGCACCAATCAGAAGACCAGCGGCACCGGTGGTGTAGTGGTAAGCGTGATTACCTCTCACCCCAGCAGACCTGGGTTCAATCCCAGTTGGCGCCGCCGGGATGTTTTGAGGCATAAAATCTCTGATCACGCCTTCCTTCCGTTGGTCCCCGGTTCATGAGTTGATGAGTCGATAGGTAGGGCCCAGGTGTGGGAGCTGCCTCCCTGGCGTCGGTAGCATTGGTGCTCAGCACGGAAAACAAGATCGACGGAAAACAAATAAAGGGGCAATCAGAAGATTGGAGAAGCAATTTTTATCGAACATTAACGGTGGTAAATTTGCATCGTTCTGATCAATTGAAATTTACTGGTGGCAAGTTTGTATTGAAAATTTCTGGTGTAAAATTTGCAACAATCTGCTGCATGGAGAGGCCTGTATAAAAATTTCACAGTTCTGGTGAATGGAGGGGCAAGCTTTGTTGAACATTTATGGTAGAAAAACTACAACGATTTGGTGAATGGGCGAACAACTTAAACTTAATTTCCGAGAAGAACCTCAAGGGTATTGAATTCTGAGGTCAGTTCTAAAAGAAAAGATTTCTGGAGATGATTTCATTAAAAATCCTGCGAATAATTTCTAATGAATCCTGCAGACAGTTCCAAGATAATTTCGAAAAGAATACCGAGAGAATCAAATTTTGAAAAAAATTCCAAAGGGATGTTGTGAAAAATTTCAATGGAGTTCCGAGGATAATTTCAAGCTCATTCTGGGAAGATTTTCTGTAGAATGCAGAAGAAATTCTTCTCAACCTTTAGGGGAATTTCAGTTCCAAGGTATTCTGAGAAAAAAGTTCTAAAATATTCCGAGAAAAATCTCAAGGATATTGAATTCATATGACAGTTCCAAAATATTTCTGGGGAGAATTCAAAGAAAATTCTGCAGATAAATTTTAGTGCATTTTGCAGATAGTTCCAATACAATTTAAAAAAAGAATACCGAGAAAATCCAATTTTGAGTGTAATTTCTAAGGGATTTTAAGCAAAATTTCAAGCCCATTCCGAGGATAATTTCTAGCTCATTCAATTCCAATTTGTTCTGAGAAAAAATCATGAGGAGTTCTAAATATAATTCCAGTGGACTTCTGAGAAGAATTTCAAAAGAGCTCTTAGGAGAGTTCAAAAAAAAAAATCCGAGAAGAACCGCAAGGATATTTAATTCTGAGGACAGTTTCAACGGATTTCTCAAGAAAATTCTGCGTGTAATTTCTAGTAAATCCTGCAGATAGTTCCTAGATAATTCCGAAAAGAATACCGAGAAAATTTCATTTTGAGTGAAATTCCAAAGGGATTTTGAGGAAAATTTCAAGGGAGTACCAATAATTTCTAGCTCATTCCTGGAACATTTTTTTTTTGAGGAAATTCTTCTGAAATTCTAAGGGAATTTCAGTTCCAAGGTGTTCTGAGTAAAAGTCAAGAAGAGTTTTAAAAATAATTCCAGAGGACTTCTGAGAACAATTTCAAAAGAGCTCATAGAGTTCTAAAAATTTTGAAAAAAAAAACCTCAAGGAATTCTGAGGATGGACTTTTTCGCAACTGTACTAAGTTTAAAGACAGCTTTTGGATTCCCTAATTGAAAAGTGGGTATTTGTTTGCCATTGAACCTCCCAAGAAACCAAAAGTTCCGCATTCAACACTTCCAAGTTCCATAAAGTTCAAATGAAGTTCCGACAGAACTTTCAAGTTCCACAAAGTTCAAATAAAGTTCCGACAGAACTTTCAAGTTCCATAAAGTTCAAATAAAGTTCCGACAGAACTTTCAAGTTCCATAAAGTTCAAATGAAGTTCCGACAGAACTTTCAAGTTCCATAAAGTTCAAATAAAGTTCCGACAGAACTTTCAAGTTCCATAAAGTTCAAATAAAGTTCCGACAGAACTTTCAAGTTCCATAAAGTTCAAATAAAGTTCCGACAGAACTTTCAAGTTCCATAAAGTTCAAATAAAGTTCCGACAGAACTTTCAAGTTCCATAAAGTTTAAATAAAGTTCCGACAGAACTTTCAAGCCACATGAAGCAATCTGCACAAATCTTTTTTTGTAACAAAATTTAATGTACGTAAATATGAAATAATCAGTGGCCCAAATAAATCATAATTCTTATATTTATGCAACATTGTATCCAAAAATAAAAAAATGAATTAAAAGTAATTTCCTGGATTCGAACCCGTGTATTCAGCATGTAATCTACGATTGCTAACCACTAGGCCACAAGTGTGATGGAATACCATGTGGGCAAACACCAATTTAAATTCATCAAGGTGTTGTGTTTCGTACTCAAGTCAGTCAGCTGGCTCAGAAAACTCTAACAAAAGGCCGGACAACAGCTCACTTTAATATATTTCAGATGACGTAGTGGTTCGTGCTGAGACTCTCACGCAGAAGGATTGGGTTTAATTCTTAAAACAGCTCCATTACTAATGCTAATGCTGATAAATCAATGCACATTAATATTTGCCTTTAGAAATAACTTTCATAAAAGTGTGAACTAAATATAGAATTGGTGT